GCTCGGCAAACTGCCATCACGTTGAACGTCAGAGATCAGGGGAAGATAACTTCCCATAGGATCTGTTGCAATTAAAAAACGTGATCGTCGGAGAGTTTTGGATGAAGCCGCTCACGTTTAGGGCCATTTTGAAATAAATCCGAATACTTTATTACGCAAAATTGTTGCTGCGACTGGTATTAATAATAATAATAATTTATTAGTCCTGTATGATCACAGATGTGATATAGGATAAGTCAGTCAGAGCACTACAAAAGCCAATAACAAACCATGTTAGTGTGGACGCACACATATTCGTACCAGATATGGCATATTCCAAACATGGATACTGATAAATCAAATTAGCGTATAGATAAAATTTATAAATATAAAACATATATGTATATATAAAAAAGCGAAATAAAGGACAAACCATTGACATTCAAACAACAATGATCAACATCAAACAAGACATTCACGCATTAAAAATTCCTCAATAGAGTAAAAAGCTTTCTCCAATAAAAACTGTTTAACTGTTCTTTTAAAAGTGTTCAGTGGTTGTGATTTCAAATTGTTGGGGAGTCTGTTGAAAAACATGTATCTAGGGCTCTTCTCCGTTCTCGCCAATCTATGCGACGACACCTCCAATACTTGAATGTTCCTGAAATATACGAGTATTTCCAGCAAGACGGTGCTCCTCCTCACTGTGTTCTTCCGGTTCGGCAATGGCTAGACGACGGCGTGTTTCCAGATAAATGGATAGGGTGAAGAGGGCCTATAGAATTTGTCTGTTGTGTTTACTCTCCACCCTGAAAGCTTAAATGAACTTCGCCAACGCATCATCGAAAGCTTCCGTGAATTTGAACATCGCCTATATCATTGTTTGGTCAATAACGAGCAACATTATGAACACTTATTGAAATAAAAAGTGATATTTTCGTGTGTTTTTGTTTTCTATCTGAACAAATTGAGATACTTAATGGTTTTTTTAATTTCCTTGAAAACGAACAGAACGATTTTAAAGAATCAAAAGTCAAAATAAAGGACTTCGAAAAACCTTTCAAACAATCTATTACTCGATACTCCTTGTTATTTAAAATAGTATGAACCTGGGGGTAGAGGGTGAAAAGAGGTGAAGTAGTTTTTGGTTAAAAGGTTGTCCCCCTTGGCAAATCTTTTGAGGAGACGTTGTAGCAGACCGCAGGTCACGCACAACACATGGCCTACCGAGACGCTGATGAGTCGGGCCACGCGGAGGTTAGGGTTTAGTGGATATTAGGTGGTCTTCTCAAGACAACCTGGAGTCCCACACACGCCGTAGCTCGGGCTATGTTATGGTGCATAAACGCATTCCCCCCTCACCAAAAAAAAAATCTTTTGACGTGTCTCGGCATCTTCCCTTTTAATAAGTGGTTTTCAATAAACGAAAACATTTCTCTATCATTCTAAGTTATAAATAAATCAATGATGAGTGAAATACGGCTAATAGGTGCATAGAATTATCGGGGATCGGAGCGTACAAATATATTAAGGTAAAAAAAACTCGTATGGAATCAGAACTAATGACTCTATTTACCTATGCTAAAATCAAATATGGCGTCCTTAAGAAAAAAAAAAGGTCGATGCTGGAGCACAAGGGACGAAACGTCATATTTGAATTCTAATTATGCCATCTTGTATAGCAGAAAAGGGGGCAATGTTGATGTGCAATTTATTTTGAAATCCCATTACTACAATGTCGGAAAAAAATTAAAACGATTTTGGGAAGATTTGCTTTTTCCATCTGTCTCCGGAAGTACCTACTTTGAATTTGGATCCTTTTTGATCAGCCTTTTGTTAGTTACCTAAATACACAACTTTGCCTCCACCTAAGCGTTTCGGAGATCTCAATGGTGAGTGTCGAATGTGAAACTCCCGGTATATATAAAAAATCATCAGAATTCAAGTAAGTCTTATTTTACTGATACCAGTAAATGGGTCCTCTACCCAACTTGACAAGTACGCAGGTGTTGAAATTACATATAGGTTTAGACGCTATTCAGTGCCCCGTTTTGTCTTTCAGAAAATAATTAATATTTTGCAGAACTAGTATCTTACACTAATAGTGATGTTCATCTCCACTTATCACTGATATCGCAGAGTAGACTGTAAATGCCCGTAGTAGGTTGTACGCATTTGAACTTTATCCTAGAAAGTTTCACAGTAATCGTTTCTTTTTACCGATGATAAGCCACAATTAGTAAATAGTTGGGCACTTGAGTTCGTACGGAAGTAAACAGTTGCGTGAGCTAAATTCATTTTAATTAATTTTTTGATTCGATATCTTGTCTTTTTTGTACATATAGATAACGATTTCTTTCAGTTTATTTGAATGTAGGTTGAAATGAGAAAAGCTAACGTCATTGTTTAGGTAACCTAAGTAGCATTCTTTCTTTTAGGTAGGTATAACGAAGCGGCCGCGTATTCAGAAAAATAAATACCAGGACACCGCGGCTGCTATCAGGAGCTTAAAGAAGTACTGTTAAACAGATTTTGAACTGCCTAAGGTTAGTAGAACTGGGTAAAGTCACCTCAAGTAGATTGTTCCACAATACTGATATCCTAGGGAGCGGTTGTATCGGCCAGTTCTAGGTGTACGAAGTTCGACACGGTTTTGTTGGGAGGTAAAAGTCAGGGGGGTTTAGATATTACCTACTACTATTGATTAACGTACCCTACCTTCGGCATTCAAAAAAGGGTCAGAATGAACCTCCATCTCAAGTTTTCAAATAACAGCGTGTTACACCATTGTTGGATCTTGCCGATAAAACGTAGCCTGCTTTTATTTGAAAACTTGAGATGAAGGAGCTTCATTATCGTTTAAAGATTAAGAAGTATAAAGCGGTATATTTCTAAGCCGAAAAAATATTTTTAAATTTTCAGTTAGCTTTAAACAAGTTTAGTAATTTCCAAGTAAGTTGTATACAGGGTGTCCCAGAAGTCAACGTCAAGCCGGAAACGGGAGATAGGCAATGTCATAGTAGCTCGATAAATCCACACCCTGTGATGATCTTTTAGTTTCCCTTACCACACAATCAATTTTTTCAAAACGTAGTGACGGACAGTATCATTCTACGTAGTGCCAGCAAGACAGATAGTAACGCCGCTTTTATTAATTCATGATTGTACACCGTACAGGAAGACGCTAACACGCACCTGATTTATGGGGAATATAGACGCAATGCTAGTGCTGCAACTAGGCTTTTTCGTGAGAGGTACCCAAATCCTGCTCGTCATCCCGATCATCGCGTTTTTGAGAATGTTTACCATTTACTCTCAGAGGGACAATTCCCAAATCAAACAAATGGTGAAGGAAGAATTAAATTTCCTTACGAGGATGTCGTATATACAAGTAGTCGAAGAAGAGCCGAATTCTTCAGTACATCAAATAGAAGCACGGGAGTGCCCAAATTAGATTCAAAATGGCAATTCATTGTCTACTGTCACGCGAACTAAACGTGGATACACAATTTCAGCTCGATTGTTTAATGTTAACCAGTTCAAAATTCAGTTTCAATACTTTGTCCTACACATACCAACATACTAACAGGTCAGGTAAAATAAAAGCTTGTAACAAATTGATGTTTAAGCGTTCAATTGAACTGCATCGCCACAGTGTACGGCACTGCTTCGCCGTCGCGGTGTTCATGAATGAACTAGAATCACGTTGGCTGGCCACACTATCTCGTCGCTGATTGGTCGTTAGCGCGTGCTCCTCCCACCGTCGCGTTCCCTACTTACCACTAGTACTACATGTTACATGCCGTCGGCAGCGGTGGTACTCGCCGTACCGCGTTGTCGTACTTTCATGTATATCGCAGATCTACAATGGATTATCTCTCTGGCCTCTCGCCATACAATAACTAACTTCTCATGTTAAAAGTTTACAATTATTTATTAAGTTATATCACATATAATATCCAAAAAACATATTATCTCATTTTCGAATTTTTTTACGATCATAGCCCGCTAGTGACGTGAAAGTAAAAGAATACTCTCGGACAAAACTAATACACGATAAAGTTTCAGTGGAGGTTCACGTACTGATTAAACCATTATTTTATATCGAAGCACTCGCAAATACAATGAACAACAACCAAGGTATCGCAAGTGCCAGGAATTTAGTCAAGTTGAACAGATTTTTAATCGATCTAAAGTTAATAAAAATGGGAAAACTTATTCTAGTAGATTGTTACGTATTTTCAATACTCTCCGAAGGAAGAGTAGTGCCGTATCCGTAGGATAACCTTAACCGCATCAGGTATATTGATAAGCAGTATTTCAGACATTATGTGATATTCCTTGAGGGCAATTCTTGAGCGCAGTAGAAAGGAATGCTCCCCAGGGAATGATTCCAAGAATTCTGAGCAGCTCCTAATATTTGGCAAATAATCTTATGAATGTATCCATTTTCGGATAAATAATAAATTGTCTCAGATCAATAAATGTTTCATCACAGAATTAATTACGCCCTTTTTCTCTTACGAAATACTTGGAAAATGGCTTTTCTATCAATACTGAAGACTAGAGTTCCTCGAAAGTTAGCTCACTTTCTATCAGTTATTGTACACCCTGGTTTTCAAGAATCGACTTCCTGGCCTCAAGAGTGAGGACACTGAGGATATTAAGTAGTACAATTACTTCCGGCTTTAACTGCTTGTTGGAACTGATTACACGATGTGTTGTGTTCGTCATTTTCTGTCGAATAGGAAGAGAAAATTGATCTAGAAAACTAATTATGATGTTTATTGTGCGATTGTTTAATTTTGGTTGGGTCTGAAATTGCGAGATTTAATTTTGTTCATAGCTTGAGTTCCAGTCTTTTGTGCTAACCAGCTTACTCGACCATGTCATTTACCTCAATTTGTTCCTCACCACCTGATATCACCTATAATGTCCGCCGCTGTCTTATTGAACCTATTAGGAATTAAAATATCAATAGACACCGGTGACGGTGTGCAATTACTACAATCAGTTGTTTATCGCCGGCCGGTAGTGCCACTTGCATACAACTCTCGGGGAGGCTTTAGCGCGTCGCACCGTACGGCAACCACTTGGCAACACCGCTTGCATACGCCTATAAAACCCCCTGCATGTCGCCGGTTCGCGCAGAACGCGTACGCTCATTCGCATTCAACGCATCGCTAAGTAAGCGCTTCGATCGCTCAACTCAGCGGATCGCATTCGCTCAGAGTCGCTAAACGCTCAGCGCATCGGCGGCGACATGCTCAGCACCGAGTTATACTCAGTGGTCGTGTGGCGATCCGCCCTTATCGACGGTCTCATCCTTACCAGGGTGATGCTCGTCTTCGTTTCCGTATTACTCCTCGTGCGCGCCCTTCAAATCTTTAGGGAGGCCATCAGCTTGCCCCCAGGACCTTGGGGGTTGCCGGTCCTAGGCTCCTTGCCCTTTCTCAAGGGCGACCTCCACCTGCACTACAGAGACTTAACGAGGAAATACGGGAGTGTGATCAGTACCAGGTTGGGGTCGCAGCTGATTGTGGTCCTTAGCGATTACAAAATGATCAGGGATCTGTTTAGAAAGGAGGAGTTTACTGGCAGGCCCACGACGGAGTTTAGCAGTATTCTTGGGGATTATGGTAAGCAAATATTCCAAATTGATAAGAAATAAATTGCTATACCAGGCATAATAAATATCTGTATATTTCCTCTTGAAAATTGACTCAAACTCATCATAATCATGTGTCGAAATGTCATAGCATAGACGTCTCAGGTATTAGTTTTCTATTATATCTTCGCCATATTGGAGGAATTTTCAAAAACTATGCAACTTTTTCGTCCTCAACAATGTAGTAAACTATTACCAAAATACGAGTATGTAAGATTCTTTTATTTCAATATTAATAATGTGGAAAATTAAAAAGCTTTCACATAAAGCAAATATTATTTACATCTCAAAGTGCTATGTATATTATCCTGCAAAAAAACAAAATTATGCATTTAAAAAGAGTTACGAATTGCTTTTATGAACCGACAGAAAAATTGGGTCTGTCGGTACAGCAGCTCACGATGTAGATATGCTCGAAGTTATTTAATATCATACTACATCCATATACATATAGAAGTTATATGCAGAGCTTCTAACAAGGTTACAATACAATTTCGAGATGATTAAGTTATTTTACGGTGGTTTAACGTGATTTCTACACAGAGTGGGTATTTTAAAATATAAAACAATCATCGAAGATGAAATGGCATGAGCTTCTCTTGACTTCAAGATAGTTGCTTCATAATTAGCTATTGGAGTTTCATTGTTTTCTTTAAATTTCAACATCTCTGTAAACTTTGAAAGAAGAATATTGATATACTTTCACTTTTTTCCATGAACTCATCTAAGAAATCATTTTTCTGTTTATCTTTTGCTACATATTTTTGCATACATAACTTCTCCCAATATGGCTGGTCTACAACCATATTCAAAATTCCCGCGTTGCACTCATCGGACCTACTGCATCGACAACGCCGACTACATCAACTTATTTTTTAAGTCAAACTTCACGTGTAGCTACTCCAAGCTACACCGGCATTTTTAATTGCCCTTATTAAAATACTATCGTTAATTGTAGTTGATAATCATTTGAGTTATAGTAAACAAAAAAAGATACAGGTCGGTCCTCATCCAGAACAAGAAACGGAAAGTTGTCGACGAGCCCCTGTCTCATCTGAAACTTTAAAATTCAATCACGTTTCGTTTTTTCTCCAAAAAAATTAATTTAAAAACTCATCACAAAAAACTGTTTAATGAGAATGTTATGTTGCATGATATCTGAAGTGTGATTATTTATATATATATATATATATATATATATATATATATATACTTTAATTTCTTGGGGCAAAGTATTGCAAAAGTACACTCTTATAACTTAAACTCTCAAGGTTACGAAGATCTATGTCTTCATCGTCTGGAGTAAGTCGGCGAGATTGTTGCTGAAATTGTTTTTAAAACAACAGTGAAGGGAACACATAGTCGACGAATAAAAAACTCGATTAGGACGGAATTATTTTATTATTAAATGGCAAATCATTTTGAAAGATTTTTTTATAAATTTTTAAAAATATATATACAGGGTGACTTCGAAGTTGAGTCATTTATTTTAACAGTGAGTAGATCTGATCAAAAGAAATGTTTTTTTCCTTTACCATTTTCCTGGTAAAATTAAAGTAACAAAGTTATAGCCCTTTGGAAGTTTGAGTACCGCCCTGTCTCAATAACAATATTATGTGGTCGTGTTTGGCGACAACGGATATAATCCGCCGTATCGGTTCATCGCATCGGAAACAAAAAAGCGAAAGAATTTGGAACGACGTTTTTATAAGTATTTCATTCATTTGTATACAGTCAGTGTTAGTGAATAGTGGTATGTTGCGTGGCTTAAACGAAATAAAAAATGGCACATGTTTATGCGGATCGGTTTCCCAATCGAGTGCAAGCAACCCCTCGTGCCTTTGTTAATGTAGTACAACGGGCTCGTGAATCAGGTGACTTAAGACCTCACAGGGGACCTCACGATCAAATACAGGTCCGCACTGAAATATTTGTCGGGAGGATACTTTATAAAACAAGGTAAAAAATTTTTTTAATTTTTTTTTTATTTTTACACACATATTTTGGTTTATCTTCCTTCTACAATCATTATCTGAAAATTAATGACTCAACTTCAAAGTCACCCTGTATATAGAGAGAGCGATAAAATAATCATGCGGGGGTATATAACAAAAAGTAGGAGAATAAAGGAGGAAAGCGAATTCGAGCAGAAAATAGGATAGGTAACCCGAGCGATACGTATTTCTGCTCGTTGGCTTCATCAGGCCCGAAATGAATGCACATATGCAACTACAAAAGTAGATGCACATGCCGACACATTCCGGATACGGGTGTAACCTGAGGAAACAAAGATGGAGAGGGAAAAAAACGACACACGAAGTCCACAACAAGAGCCAACCTACACATTGAAGTTTAAAATGGCTGGAAGACCTCGAATTTTCAAGAAGACATCTAACCACTACCACGTGGCCGGTTATAGCCAGTTGCTGTGGTACTTCAATCCCAAATGATCTACAAAGAGAAAATGATCATGCGGAGAAAGGTATATAAGAAAAAGTAGGAAAATAATGGGCAAAATCCGCAAAAAGGAGGAAAGTGGATTCGAGCAGAAAATAGGATAGGTACGTTTACGTAGGTATTTCTGCTGGTTTTCTTCATTAGGCCCGAAATGAATGCACATAGTTATATATGGAGAACCAGTTTTGTCGAAAAATTGGATTTACCGATACTTGTAAGAAAATATTTTAATATTTTTCATCATCAGATACTATTGAAGAAAGCACTTAGTAAAAATTCTCTTCATAAATTCATCTGAAGAATGAAACAACCCTGAAATATTCTAACCCATCGGAGAGCAACGTCTTGTCTTGCAAGTTCCATTATTTTTTATATTAAATATTTGCCTCTATTTGAGAGGCTATAATACGTTATCAGTATGTGAGATGTATATGTCGTGGTGATATCGTAAAATTGATCATTGTATCACTATTTGTTTTCCAGATCAATATGTGTATTGACCAGGTCACTGACAAAAAATCGTTTAACGATATGATCAACTAAAACTTAATGAAATGGTCAAGTATGTTTGATCAAACCGTAAAATATTTACATTAATTATTGATAGAGGCGCTAGGAGCGCTTTGTTTACATATTTAAACATGGCGGTCCTTAATAACAAAGTTGTTTTTGAACGAAAAATTCGAAAAAATCATTACCGAATGAGAAATGAAGTGAGATTAAAAGAGTACTATGCGAGTCATGCAAATACCGATCAAAACGTCATAAAGCTGTAGAATTTGGGACGTGTTTCTGAGATTAGTACTTCACTCTTAAATTACATTATTATGATTCAATTATTTGAAGTCATAATCCTATGTCAGCTGAAATATTGTGTTTGTTAAACTTCTATATTATTTTTCGTATCTAAACATTTTTATTTCATTTTTAGGATATACGTCAAAGTAGAGTAGGGTGACCGCCCGAGGTAATAACTTAATTTGTGATATCTGATATTTTCAACAATTTTATTTGAAGTTACTAATTTTAATAAGAACGTTTGTTGTACTTAAATAACATTAACCCTGTTCGTAACATATACTGGGTTCTTATTAAGTATCCTATGGGCATCCTATTTTACGATATGATCAATCGTGGATGACCAAATCGTTAAACGTTTATGATTTAATTTCATGAAATGGTCAATTTCACGACATATAAATCTCTATACCAAAGGATTCACATCTCATCACAACCAGGCTTCTTATTTATTTCTTATAGTGTATTTTTCCAGTTTAATGCGTCATTGATTTTTATAGATGGGTACGTTAACGAATTTCCTTATTAGGAAAGTTGCTAGGATTAACCCTATATTAGAAGTAATAATTTGCACTTCAACTAGATATAATCATTTAACTTCCATAACTGTTCATTTTCGGTGAAGTAGAAACTAAATGAATTTCTGCAGCACCTTAGCATTGACATTCACCATTTTTTGCCAATCCGATGTTGCTTACTTAAGCAATAAGTACCACGACAAACTTCAGGAGGAGGTAGGCTTTGGACTGTCTTCCCATATAACAGAAACTTACCTATATAAAAGTGTCACCGTTTTTGAGATATTGAATTTTTTCTTAAATATAAAAAAAAACGAACCTTTTCATCTGTGGTCTTTAGTTGCATGTACAAATACTTTGTTCATTTTTTCTACAAAAAAAACATAATTATAGATAGTTGCTTCATCATATACAAATGCAATGTAGTTAAAAGATATTAAGGAACCATGATCAAATAAGGACTATTTTGGGATTTATACTCTTCTGATATTTTTTCCTCAACTTTGACCATCTGTGGTGAAACAAAAATGTAATGGGCTATCACTGTACTATATTGAATAAAAAGATTGCTCATTGAATACAGATTTCAGAAAGGCACCACACGTACTATTTGGAATATAAAAAAGTGATAGCTGCTTTTGTAAGTGACTGACACACACTACAATGTAATTATTGGATTTAAATTCAAGTTGCACTGGTTACCGATCAGTGACATGCTAAGTAGTACAAACCTACATTATTATTACCTGCTCCTGATAGGATTGTATGAAAGTTGAGGAAACAATATCAGAAGGTTATAAATCCCAAAACAGTCCTTATTTTATCATGGTTCCTTAATATCTTTTAACTACATTGCATTTGTATATGATAAAACAACTATCTAGAAGTATTTTATAGAAAAAATGAACCCTATTTGTACATGCAGCTAAAAACTACAGACGAAAATATTCGTTTTTTTTAAATTTAAAAAAAAAATCAATATCTCAAAAACGGTGACACTTTTAAATAGGTAAGTAAGTTTTTGTTATACCTACCTTCTCCTTAAGTTTGTCGTGGTACTTATTGGACATATATATGTGCTAATTTTAGTAGAAAAAAAACGTCAAAAGGTAACAGTAGTTTCTTATACAATGAATTATTATTATTTTGCAACTGCTTGCGACAATACAAAAGAGAGATTCTAATAGAACTTCTCCTC